GGCACAGGTTGCCCAGAGAGGTGGTAGATGGCCCATCCCTGGAAACATTTGAAGTCAGGCTGGACAGGGCTCTGAGCAACCTGATCAAGTTGAAGATGTCCCCTGCTCATTGTGAATGAGTAGGCTAGATGACCTTTAAAGGTCCCTTCCAACTTGAACTATTCTGTGATTCTATGATTCCTTTTTAAATGAAATTATTACACTATATGCAAACATTTAAGGAATATCAAATGAAAAGGAAATTGAGGCAATCAAGTCAAAGACAGTGGTTGTACATTTGTATAAAGGAATCTACCAGTGCAACTTGCATTAAGGGCACTGAGGATCCCAGTATGTCTGAAATAAATACACTTAGATTTAAAATTAAATTATGGTAAGTAGTAATTCATTACAGCAATTTGATAAGAAACATTAGGCTCAGAAAAAAATGCAGTCAGTATTTCTAATATGTCCTGGTTTAGCTTCATTCACACAGGAAAGACCCATTCTCCTTTCTCCTTCAGGAATAATTCCATATGTGTGTATTTGAATATCTTTCAGCAATTGGAGGAAGGAGGAGAGAGAAGCTGGGGAGACACTACTGCTGTTCCTCTCTTTTTGGGAGTTATTTTGGGCATGCGTCCATCTATTTTCATTTAGACTTCAGGCTGCACTTCTGCTCCCCAAGACCTCTCTGAATTTCTTCACTCTTGTTTTTCAAAGGGTGAGGGAAGGCAAAGGAATGACTGTAAATGAAGTAGACCTCTCTGACATTCCATCCTGTTTTGTGGCAAATGAAGCCTGGGGCTGCCCCCAGCATAGCACATGTTGGCTGTGAGAAGAGCTGCTGTAAAGGCCTTGAAAGCATGCTGTCTCTGGGGCCAGTGCAGGCACAGAAATTCCCTCTGCTCCTGCTCCAGGCACAAAAAAATTCTTAACTTACGAAGCCAAGGCTGAGTTGTTGATTTTTAAAACCAGCAACTTTGAAACAGAAACTTCTTTTGCTTTTAAATGAGGAAGCTCTGTTCTGGAGCTGGGGGGGGGGGCTGCACAGAGTAGATGCATTTCTCTTTCTATGTTTTTTTGGTACAGTAGTATCTGTCTAGCTTCAAGCTGATTCAGCCTTATTTACTATGAAAATAATCCAAGATTTAGAAGGAAAATAGTCCTATGGAAATTAAGAGTTGGATGTGAATGTTGTGCTTGCTGAAGGCAGCCAGTCTCTAAAAACATTTAGAAAAGTACTTTTGCTGGGTGGGGGGAAAAAAAAAAAGTATTTGGTTCTAAGGATGTGGTTTGAGAGCTACTGGCACATCTGTGGGGACTATATGTTGTTGTATTGTTACCCTGAAAATGGCTGAGAGAACTTCAAGCTTCAGTGTTAAAGCTTACTTAATATCTTTAAGCAATTTGGAGTATTGTAACGTTACGAGTGTTTGCCCTAATGGTTCTTTTAGCTACACCTCTGAAGAAACGTTTGTCCAGCATGTGAAATATTGCACAGTAGTGAAAAAAAATGCCATCTGTGTTTTATGGCTGATTATCTGTTTTGAGCTTCACTTGTTTTTTGCCGAGTTGTTTGAAGCAAGACATATTCAGCCTGAGCTAACTGGAGGAAACTTTGAAATCTTGCGAATATCCATGATTGTTCTGAATGCTTTTGTAAGCTCTTGAAAATATTTGCAAAAATAACTTGACGCTTGTCTTGTAATTAAGCACACACTTATCAGTCTGTGCCTAGAAGATCGTTTTGCATAATTGCTTTAGGAATTGATGACTCTACCTTTGTTTGAGAAGGAGAGAGTGAGGTAGTGTCTTGATTTTAAAAAATAAAAAAAAATATACACCTGGACAACCTAAGTAAGGTGGAATTTACTCTGTACCGTGCCGAAGAGACTGCACAGCGTCTTGCAGGTAGACTGCACAGCTCACCACAGCAGGGTGGGGCTGCTGGGAGAATCCCATGTCTCATGGCTGCATCACACCAGGAGGGGCGTTGTCAGTGTGGACACTTACAGTTCATCGACCTCAGCTGGCCTGGTGAGGCAGAGCTCATGGGTATCTGCCTGCTGGTGGCCTCCTTGCCAGTGCTGCGCTCCACTTGCCCTGTGTAAAGGCTTCCAGGACATGGCTGAGTACCATTCATAAGCAGAGGCAAAGAAGTATTTTGTTTGTTTTCCCCCTCCTGGTTGCACTGGCAACTGGCTCAAAGCCTAAGCTACTTTGCTAGAAAACATGTAGAGGAGAAATCATGACCTTCCCTGTTGCTCTCAGAAGTGGGCTCTGCGCTGCTTGGTGTGAGCTGAGCTCTGATGCCCTCTACCATTGTCCCATAGGCACTTGCTGCATGTGCTCTTGGCATGCAGGAAGCAAATAAATGTGTTTTCCCTTCCCAGCACATCCTTTCTCTCTTCCCTAATTGTTGTGATCAATAAACCACTTAAGGTAATTTGTCTCCCTCCCTGTGCCTTTTTGGAGTAGAGAGATGAGAGTTCCTGTAATAACAGTGTTCCCAGGGTGGCAAACCCTGTGACTGGGTGAGTCTGCAGGGCCTCATAAAATGCTCTGCCTTTCATAGAATTGTTTAGGTTGGAAAAGACCTTTAAGATCAAGTTAGCTGTTAACCTGAACCTGACAAGTCCACAACTATACCATGTCCACCACATCTACACATCTTTTAAAAAACTCCAGGGATGGTGAGTCAACCACTTTGCTGGGCAGCCTGTTCCAGGGCTTTACAACCCTTTTGCCAAAGAAATTTTTCCAAATGTCAAACCTAAACATCCCCTGACACAACTTGAGGCTGTTTCCTCTTTGTCCTATTGCTTGTTACTTGGAAGAATAGGACCAGCCCCACCTTGCTACGACGTCCTGTCAGGGAGCTGTAGAGTGCAATAAGGTTTCCCCTAAGCCTTCTTTTCTCCAGGTTAAACAACCCCAACTCATAAAACTTGTTCTCTAGAGCCTTCACCAGCTTTGTCACCCTCTGGACATACTCTCAGCATCTCAATGTCCTTCTTGTAGTGAGGGGCCCCAAAGTGAACCCAGTATTGGAGGTGCAGCCTCACCAGTGCCAACCAGAGGGGAACGATCACTTCCCTAGTCCTGCTGCCCACACTCTGATACAGGGCAGGATGCAGTTGGCCTTCTTGGCCACCTGGGCACACTGCTGGGTCACATGCAGCCAGCTATCAACCAACATCCCCAGGTCCCTTTCCACTGGGCACCTTTCCAGCCCCTCTTCCACAGTCCTGTAGTGTTGCATGGGGTGGCTGTGACACAAGTGCAGGGCTCAGCACTTGGCCTTGCTGAACTTCATGCAGTTGGCCTCAGCCCACGTTACCTTGAGTCAACTTTTTTTTTTTTTTTTTTTTTTTTAAATTAAATAAGGCACAGTTAAAGACAAAGTACTGAAAATTGGGGGTTCCGTATCCAGTGAGGGGAAGAAAATGACCTGGGCTTGAGAAGCAGGCTGAAAAGAGACAGGGTGGCAGCTGTCAATTTATAACTCCAATAGTGCAGTTCTCCACATTCAGGCTCTTCTGTAGAACCTCAGAAAAGCTGAACACAATATTCATTACTAGTTAGGCTTCCTACATACCTGTTTTGATGGGATTCAGTACAGAAGCTTAAACCAAAATCTCTATGAATAAGCAAATTTTAAAAATATTTAAACACACATAGCTGGGGGACTGTGGGGCTTTGGGGTTCTTTTTAGTAGCAGGTATGGTGCTTCACTCAAACTTCATTCAGTCAGAAGGTTCTGCATCATAACATAAAAGTTTGGCCTAGGGGGGGGAAAGAAAATCTTCCTTTAGTTTTTGGTGGATGGTTTTTCTGCAGGAATGGGAATTAACTTTATTACTTGTTCTCTAATAGAGATCCTGGCACTGCTGTGGGAGTGAATTTCTATTTTTTCACCAAGATCACGTCATTGAACCAGGGACACAGAATAGCTTCCACCCTTGAAAACAGAAAGAAAGATACATTTTTGCTCCTGAACCCAGGAGTAGACTAACTGCACATAGAATTTGCAGGCAATTTGTTGGAGCTATTGATCAGTTCACTGAAACATTGATGAGTACATGCTGGATGTGTTTTCCTTGCTGCCTAATGGAAGGATTAGAAAGCTCATGTTCATCATCTTGATCAAAATTGTGTTCACCCTGTTATGCCTAAACACAAGGCTTTGTGCAAAGGATCTCTGTACACTGGGGAAGGAGAGAAGGAATTTCAAGCTTTAATCTAGTTACAATATACATGTTGAGACAGATACATGTTTTCTGCAGTGATATTTTAATGTGGCATCCTCATCTAAAGATGTGCTTCTGCCTTCCTGTGCATTTGGACCATCATTTTTCTTTTTGGGAAAAGTGCAGAACTTGTCTCCTCTCCCCCTTGCTCCTTTGTACCAGCACTTTGCGTCTGCGCAGTCCTTTGGTGTGTATTCCTTTGCCTTTCACAGCTTTCTACAGCAACATCAGGACAGATGTTGACCTGGTCAAACCCATGCCTCTCTTTCAGTGGTGATAGTAGCCCTTCAGTTCACTATGCTTTTGATGTGAAATAATTTATAGTTCATGCTTAATAGTTTTGTATCATTCTTCTGGTTCTGAAGAGATTCTGGAAATAATTTATAACAAATCTATCTCAGTCAGATCCCTTCCCTGAAATTACAGGCATCTAATCTTGGTTGCCCTCACATCCACGTTGCACAGACAGGTGATATGTGTGACCTGCGGGACAGTTGTACCCTTCTAGGGTGGCAGGGGAGACAGGATATCCTATGTGTGTAGTATCACTTCAGATGTCCCAGGTTTGGACAAGTGCGTGTCATCCTTAATATTGTACCGAAGTCACAAGCTATGTAACATTTACAGTTTCTTCATTTAAGTAGTAGTTTTACTGCATGCATATCTTAACTTTATGCATTCAAACAGAAACTGCTGAGACTTGTTCAGAGTCACAGTAATAGGAACTGATTGTACAGTGTATTCCCTAATTTTGTTTTCTGTCCGCAGGTGCAGCAAGAGCAAAGAAACCACACTGCAGAACCCGTAATAGATGACTACAAAAAGATGGGGACTCTCTTTGGTGAACTAAACAAAAGCCTTATCAGAATAGGCTTCACAAGGATGTACTTCGGAGAACGGATAGTAGAACCTGTCATCTTTATCTTCTTCTGGGTTATGCTCTGGTTCCTTGGCCTACAAGCTCTTGGACTAGTTGCTGTTCTGTGCCTTGTCATTATTTATGTACAACAGTAAAATTTTATAGGTGCTGTTCAGTTTATGTATTTCAGCACTGTCACTGTGTCAGTGGATTTGTGTTTTAAGTAAATGGGTGGCATGTCAAAAGCTGCAATGCTTCAAATTGCATTTCACTGAGCTTCCAACATTTGAGGTGAGGGGTACTAAAATATGCTTTTTAAGCAAGGTCAGCAGTGCTCTATTACATCTTTGATGTGCAAAACAGGAGAAGTTTGTAATATAATGGTGTCCAGTGTACTGTTTTGAGCAGTTTTGGGGCCTTAGTCCAAGGACTGGATTTTTGTTACCCCTCCCTCCCTCCCCCAAAGTTCTTGCTTTGTATAGTGAAAATTTCCTCTCTGGTTTTAAGAGGACACTCTTAAAATGTGAACTGTTTGTTCCCTGAATCTGCATGATTTTTTTTTGCTGAAAAGCCAAATCTGCAGGAGAGAGGTTTGCTAACAAACGTGCAACAACAGATGTTCATAAGGTGGATACAACTTCCTGACACAAAAGCATCTTTGGTTCATACACTTCGTAGCAAGCTTTCCCCTGGGAAACAAGCTGTGCCAGCAAAATGCTTTTATACTGATACTAGTGACTTCCCACAAGGCTTCAGCTGTTGTTTAGGAGGAAACACAGTCCTGCATTGGCCAAGTGATCTAACGTAGCTCTCCCTTGGGTTTGGAAATGTACTCCACTGCTGCTGCTGTTTTTCTTTCTTTTTTTTTTTTTTTAATACTTACTCTTTCACCTAGCCCTCCTTCTGAAGATAAATATTTGGATAATTCATGGACCTCATAGGTAGTTACAGCTGCAGTGTTGGAGAGTTGCCATTCCAGATGGCAGTGTTAGAATATTGTCTCCTTCCTCTGGGTCACGTGTGAAGTGTTGGACCAACCAGACAGGTATCAGACCAGATCTCTTAACGCTTCCCTAATTTGCTGCCGTGTGGACCCAACAGAGCCAGAAGCTTTGTGTACATAAGCAAATGAGAGCTGTTTCCTCATGCAAGACAAGAATGGAGTTGAAATCAGGTGGTCATTTTATTTGGTAGTCTTAACTGATTGATTTCCATTCTAAGCAACAAAAATGCATATCTATAGGTGCATGTCAAGGGCAACAGACATTGGAGAGCAGGGTATATACATTCAAGAATAGGACCAAAATTCACTCTGGCTCCCCAGGAGCATCCTTGAATGCTTCCAAGATGAATGCACTGATTTAAAGAAAAACAGTAAAATAAGACAGAATCTTTACTCAATGAGGGTACCAATGTAATATTTACTGTACTTTTAGTAAGAAACATAATTGCAAAATTGACTTCATCTATGGCACAGTGAAATTATACACTTACTTAAGGACATGTAATAGAATATGTGAAATTTACAGAAAACTACTTAACCTTTTGCAGTGACTTTTTTCCTAAAAATTTTTAGACTACTATGAATCAACAATAGATGAGTTGAAAATGCTATCTTTATCCAGAGACTTTTGAAGATAAGGGGAGCTTCTCAATGGTCCCAGTCCTGGATGCTAAAGCCTGATTTCATGTCTACATGGATCATGTTGGTTGCTGGGCTCTAATTCCAGGACCTCTGGCCCTAGTCCTTACAGACTTTCCTGTTGGTGAAATAATTATTTGGGACAGTGAACATGAAGGCCCACGTCCTTTAAAGTCTTTGTGTGCCTGAATGCCATCTGTAGACACGCCACTGCGTTTCTGATGACCTCCTGAGGAGCCAGGTCTCCTCTCCAGATCTTCAGATGACCTTGACTGTGGATCCAAGAAGCTCTGCTGAACTGGCAGGACTGCAGGGGAGCGGGACTGAGGCCCAGCTGTGTGTTTAGATGGCAACCTGTGTTGATTGGCATCTAGTAAGATAGTTACACTGGTGGCAGGGAAATTATTTAACAGAAGGTGTTCCTGGATACAAGGGTTTGTTATTCACAGCTGGAAGTCCCAAAGCAAACAGCAAGTACAGGCTCAACTCAGAAGCAGGAACTGTACTCACAAGTGCCTAGGGGTAAACTTTGGTTGTGTTTCAAGTCCCTTAGAAAGCAGCACATCTGTTTATACCTTTGCATATTTGTACAGATATAATGGTGGGTTTATGTGTTCTTCTCCTGCAAAAGGGCTGTACTACAAAAGCATCTTGTTGTTAAAAAAAAAAAAAACAAAAAAAAATCCTTCCTTTCTTTCCACACTGTTTGGAGGATATTATCCAATTCCTCTCATCCTGTAGGAAACAAAGTCTGTGATGTCTTTGTTGCTACTCTTTTTAAAAAGACATGTGCTGTGAGATGGCATGTGGTATTCCCTTGAAGTGGTGATTTTGCTCTGTACATAAGGAATGGGGAACAATGAACCAAGGGTGTGACTGATGAGTTCAGTGAGGACATTGTTTATGTGCATGTAACCTTTTAGCACGTGCAGGACTATGACTGTTTCACTCATGAAGTCATTTCAGGTCTTTTGATGTTCATGTTTGTATACATGTGCTCTAGGGAAAGGTAGCTTTTGGACTAAGATTGTGTACACTGAATGTTCTATATGGTTTCTCTTGAGGGTAACTTAATACTTGTCCTTCATACAGGTTTTTTGGTTTTGAGAACATGAAAAAATAGCCCTCCTAATGGACTTGGGTTTCCTGAAAATGAAAAAAAAAGAAATATTGCATGGAAGATACACCTCACCTGTTTGGTTTCATACATTCCGTTGTATATAAAAGTTTGTGCTGAGTCATCTTTCCTAATTTTGTGCTGTTGCTGTGCTATCTCCCTGTCATTTGAAGGAAAGGAAAGAGGAGTTAAGGAAAGAAGAGGACTGGGATAGGATTGGACATAAAGAGTGGAAGGTGGAATGTGGTAGAATGATGCATCTCTCTGTCAAAGGAAATCTGGTGGTAAACATGTGGCAGCAGCGAGGGAGAGTGGCTGAACAGCCCTTGTATCATGTCCTTCCTTCCATCCACATGCAGTTCAAAGGCAGAGGAAGCACCAAGCATTTGAAAGATGTCCCTAACTAAAAAGCAGAAAGTTAATTTGAAAGAAAAAAAAAAAAAAAAAGACAATTTCACTGTTGTCTATCGAGTAAAAATTGATGTTATTTATATTGGTATATGTGCTTATTGTTCTTGATAGAACTGAAAGCACCTCTATGCATCTGTGTGTAGGACTTTATGAAGGAATAATGTCCCTTAAATCTGTTAAACAACAAGTTATGTTGTTTCTCATCTGAGAGTTGTTACTAATTTCTGTCAGTAAAACATACTGAAAGCCTTTTACATAACCTTTGTTTTTTAAAGGATGGACTCTTCAATGCTGTTTCACACCCACCAAATGCATAAATGTTTGAACTACTGCATATAGATAAAAAACTCAACATGTAGGAGCATCTTGGAGAACTCTGTTTGCACTGAAAAATCCTCATGTCAGAAGAGCCCATATAAATGAAAAATCCTATTATTTCTTAAAAACTCTGTATTAAATGAATCCTATGGAGAGCACTTTGTTATTCTTTCTAATAAAAAGTACTGCTATCAATGAGAACTGTGAATTCTTGGTGCTGCTTTGTTCGAGGTTGTCTGACTCCTTTCAAAATTCCACAGTAGGCCCAGATGAAACGGGGCAGCATTCAGCATTTCAATGAAATCAGTTAATTTGCAGCTAGTGGAGAAATAACTGCAGTACATGAGCTGAATAAACTGTATCAGGTCTGTGGCTGAGTGTGCAGCAAATTATGCTGAATTAAAAAAAAAAAAGGTAACAGAGCTGGATGTTAACAAGTAATGCCAACGCTGTGGTGTGAAGTAACTTTTCTGTCACAGCATCACTAGTTTGCATCCCAAGCAGCTTCTGAAGAAACATGGTATGGTCAAGGGTGTGGAAAAATCCTTTAAAGTGACAAATGCTATACCACAGAAAGCTTGGAGAGTTTTCATTTGGTTTGTTGTGTTGTTTGTTTTGCTTGTTTTCAATATGCATAGAGCAACATATGATTCAAAGCAAATCCATTTCAAAACAAATCCATTTCAAACTTCATTCTTTTTTCCTGCAGGTCAGAAGGCTATTTGTTCTGCCAGATCAAACACTTACATGTATCAGTGCTGCACAGTGAGTTAAGCAATACAAATTTTCTGTCAGTAGCAAGGCTGAATTTTGGTCCTTCACACTCATATTGATGGTTGTGCACAAAATAAGGAAGGCTCACTGCTTGAATAAATTCAAGCCTTCCTGTTTTATTTCTGATAAAGTATCTTGGTCAGGCCTTTTATAGGGTGCACATCAAGAACAAGCTGGCTTTGACTCTTGGTTCTTTCCATCCTGTGCTTTACTCTAGGTTTTGGAGGTTTATTCCTTAACCTCTCCCTTCTGGCAGGACTGACAGCTTCTTCCCCATTTTACTGTCACCCTGTAGCATTGCCTTCTCTAGAGCTGTTCATTTAGTCTCTCTCTGTGCCAGGGGTTCAGTTATTTTCATCATTCAGTCTTAAACACAGTATACTTAGACTGAAAATGTGTTTTCAGCTGGAGATTTTGCTTGTGTTAGTGTGCCTCCTTAAGACCACAGGGGAGGAAATTACAGGATTAAAAGAAAAAGTACACATAACTGGGTAGTTATTTTTTATGGTGCTTATCTGTTGATTTAGATTATTGTTACCAAACTTCTTCACTCTGAAGAAACTGGGCTTTCATCAGCCCTGTTCTACACAGAGGAACTGAAAGGCGATAAGAATGGGAAAAGGGAATTGGATTTAAAACTGGTTTTAACTTTATCCAACCTTGTGTCCTTTTCCACTTTTAGTCTTGTACTATTCAAGAACATTCCTGTGTCTTTTATGCAGGTGTCAGAACCCTTGAGAAGCAGCTGAGATAACACATGGGTGTTTTTTTCCCCAAGAATTCATTGAAAATGACTCCCTCACCCATAAGTGGCAGGAAGGGTGTGACTGGATAAAGCCCTTCAGCTGACAGGAGCTGCTCTTGGTGCAGGTGAACTGGCCCCTTCCCAAGGT